TCCCTCTCCCTCTCCCTCTCCATCTCCCTCCCCCTCTCCCTCCCTCTCCATCTCCCTCCCCCTCTCCCTCCCTCTCCATCTCCCTCCCCCTCTCCCTCCCTCTCCATCTCCCTCCCCCTCTCCCTCCCTCTCCATCTCCCTCCCCCTCTCCCTCCCTCTCCATCTCCCTCCCCCTCTCCCTCCCTCTCCATCTCCCTCCCCCTCTCCCTCCCTCTCCATCTCCCTCCCCCTCTCCCTCCCTCTCCATCTCCCTCCCCCTCTCCCTCCCTCTCCATCTCCCTCCCCCTCTCCCTCCCCTCTCCCTCTCCATCTCCCTCCCCCTCTCCCTCCCTCTCCATCTCCCTCCCCCTCTCCCTCCCTCTCCATCTCCCTCCCCCTCTCCCTCCCCTCTCCCTCTCCATCTCCCTCCCCCTCTCCCTCCCCTCTCCCTCTCCCTCTCCCTCTCCCTCTCCCTCTCCATCTCCCTCCCCCTCTCCCTCCCTCTCCATCTCCCTCCCCCTCTCCCTCCCCTCTCCCTCTCCCTCTCCTCTCCCTCTCCCTCTCCCTCTCCCTCTCCCTCTCCCTCTCCCTCTCCCTCTCCCTCTCCCTCTCCCTCTCCATCTCCCTCCCCCTCTCCCTCCCCTCTCCCTCTCCTCTCCCTCTCCCTCTCCCTCTCCTCTCCCTCTCCCTCTCCTCTCCCTCTCCCTCTCCCTCTCCATCTCCCTCCCCCTCTCCCTCCCTCTCCATCTCCCTCCCCCTCTCCCTCCCCTCTCCCTCTCCCTCTCCCTCTCCCTCTCCCTCTCCTCTCCCTCTCCCTCTCCCTCTCCTCTCCCTCTCCCTCTCCCTCTCCCTCTCCCTCTCCCTCTCCCTCTCCCTCTCCCTCTCCCTCTCCCTCTCCCTCTCCCTCTCCATCTCCCTCCCCCTCTCCCTCCCTCTCCATCTCCCTCCCCCTCTCCCTCCCTCTCCATCTCCCTCCCCCTCTCCCTCCCTCTCCATCTCCCTCCCCCTCTCCCTCCCCTCTCCCTCTCCATCTCCCTCCCCCTCTCCCTCCCTCTCCATCTCCCTCCCCCTCTCCCTCCCTCTCCATCTGTAAGCAACCATTTAAAACTTAATAAGCACAAAAAAATTGATATACAAGCACGTATTATCTGATTGTTTTAATCATGTGATCCTGCCATTGCTTGCGGCCTTAAAACATTGCTCGCTATGATTGAAGCTTTCTGTTGCCTCTCCAATTTCAAGAAGGATTTCCTAGTACAGCTAAACAATTGCATTTAGTAACTTCTGGCGGTTAAATAACACCATGATGTTACTCTCTCCGTCAATTTATCTCTCCAGCATGAAGTGCTATTCTTCGCCTAATGCAAAGGTGTCTTACCCATCCAAAGCGCCACGGTAGGCCAGAGCCTCGTCATATAAGGCGGCCACTCTACAGTCAGACATGGTAAAGGCGCTGAGGCTGCCGATGTCGAAGGCATTGGTGAGGACTTTTCCCAGGCGAACTCTTTCCAGGTGCAGCTCAGAGCCTCCGGTGTATCCCGAGCGTTTCCAGTTCAGGATCTGGCCGCTTTCCAGCCTCATGAAACTGTTCTTGGGAAGCTCAAAGGCCACCTGTTGAAACACGTTGCCATTAATGTTCGGACGACGCTGTGATCAGCTTCTCTGTCTCTTTTGTATATTAATCTTTCTACCTCTCACTCAATCTTTCTATTTATCCATACCTTTCCATTTTTTTTTTCTTATTCTTTCTGTCATCTCTCTCTCTCTCTCTCTCTCTCTCTCTCTCTCTCTCTCTCTCTCTCTCTCTCTCTCTCTCTCTCTCTCTCTCTCTCTCTCTCTTCTCTCTCTCTCTCTCTCTTTCTCTCTCTCTCTCTCTATCTATCTATCTATCTATCTATCTCTCTCTCTCTCTCTCTCTCTCTCGTCCATACATCTAAACTAAAATCCATACCCAAGCATATAAAAGGAACTATATCACAGAATTATTTTTTTGGGCCAAAATAACATACAGAATAAGTAAATAGCGCTCAGTACCCACCATCTGCACGGTTAAAATATTAGTATTAACGAACGTGGCCTGAACTTGGGCGTCTTCGTCGTACCCAGCCAGGGCTCGCGACTCAATGACTGACACTACGCAGTCCTTCATCACGAGTTCGACCTCTTTCCCGCCTGTGACCCAACCCTCGGGGAGGCCGCTGAGGTTGCTGTGAGGTAATAATTGCTTTGCTTTATCAGACTTCATAGATTTGATTTGATTTGATTTGATTTTTCTATTTTTTTTTAGATAAATGTCGGTTTCCTTAGCTAAATTTATGTAATTATTATGTAAGAGATAATTGTATATAGAAGAAAAAAATATGACGATGTAGGTCTGCAAACAGGTAGGTATGACAGGGATTAAAAAGAATCACAGATAACGGGTTTAAGGATCCGTAATAAAAAAAAATGCTCGTAGGGCTTGATAACTTGAATACATAATAGTACATTTATAATAACCTAACCTCATTGTCATAAAACC